TACTCTAACACAAAAAAAAAAAAAAAAAAAATCAAGATTCACTACATGGTAGCAGAAAAAAGTAACCTTTTTCAAGGTAAAGAAGTAACAGTTTATACAGATACCAAAAAATGAACTTTTCCAGAGTATATTACAGGGTAGTTTCTAAAATACATAGTCCTGAGTCACAGAAAAAGGCCCAAACCACTGCTCTGAAAGCCAGAATATAGACTTTCAGACTTCCAAAATATAGGCATTGTCTATGCCTACTACAGACAGTTTTTAGCAGTTTCTAAGCCTTACCTAATTCCATTCCATTACCACAGTTCACAGATAGAAAGAGACAGGGCTCTTTTTAAGGTAAGTAACATAGCAATAGTCTGCATGTATGCTTTTTACTCCTACAAAGTCCTTACAGTGTGTGTCACTCCTGGTACCCCCAAAACAGTAAACTACATTCCTCTTTTTCTTTACCTCTTTTCATACCTCTGACACTGTCCTACACTCAATTACCCTACAGATATCACTTAGCTAAAATCAAAAGGAAGTATCACCCTATAAAAAACGTTTAGCACTCAGTGGAAGGTGAGGGTTATCTGAGAGGAAAAGAGGTTTAATTTTTGAAGTGGCAAGACTAACCCCTACATTTCAACTGTTCTATTTTACAACACTCGTACCTCACTAATACTTTTCAGTGTTAAAATAAGTATGAAATCTACATCAACTGCCCACCTAAATATGGGTATGCCAATGTAGTCTAGGTTAAGTTGAACGATTACTTTCAAAGGCATGTGTGACCTATTCTGGCATTTCCTTCTGATTAGAAAAAGCTTGGTGCTACACAAATAATCAAAACAAAGAAACTTTGCTTTCTTTAATATTTAGGTTGAAATATTACATAGTTGTGGGATTATTCTGCTTGCTGGAAGGCAGGGACAGGAGTGCTGTTACTTGTTATAGTCAAACACGGGCTTTTGATAACAAAGTGATGGTTAAAACAGGCTTTGACATGGAGCTTCTTACCAATAATCATTGCAGTGAATAGGTCTCTATATAAGAAATTAAACAGGAAAGGTTCATACCAGGCCTCAACTCCTACAACCGCAGTCACTATGTAGACAAAAGAAATAGTCTGGAAGGAAAACACAGACAAAAGCACACAGACGCATTAACAGCTGAAGAGACCAGGGAGCCAACAGAGCTTTATACAACATTAAGTCTAGTCAAACAGTTTTCGTAAATGCCAACAAATATTCCTAAAATTTGGTATATGGCAAGTCTTGCCCTTTTTTTGTCAACAATGCCATAGAGTGACTAACTTCTATCAACTTCTACCGGTTATCATCTAGAGCATTTCAAAGGCGTTCCATACACTGGTTAGATCAGAAGATGATCCGATTTGCCCACCCAACCACCTCCTTCAATAAGCACACTCCAGCTACTGAGGGTTTAGGTACAAATGGGCAAAACACAACACCGAAGCTGGGATTCAATGGCAAGGAAGGTTAGCAGTAAGCCTACTAAAGTAAAAGAAAGCTTTCTACCCATTGAAATTTGGCAATGGAGACAAAAACCAACAATGTAGTTATATATGAATATCTTTTTTAAAACAAAAATTCACAGTTCAAATGAATGAATTTTTAATAACATTAAGAAATTGTTAAATTTCGGTGTAATAATGGCATTGTGATTGTATTTTCTGGGGGTTTTTGTTTTGTTTTGTTGAGACAGGGTCTTACTATGTAGTACAAGTTAGCCTTGAACTTGCTTATATAGCCCAGGCTGGCTTCAAACTCACAGCAATCCTCCTGTGTCAGCCTCCCAAGTGCTGGGATTATAGGGGTGTATCTCCACGCCCAGCTGTGATCATGTTTTTAAGAGAAGCCCTTGTCACTCAGAGATACGCAGTAAAATATTTATCACACTTCCTTTAAAAGAACTGGAAAGGGGTGAGGGGGAATGGATATGAAACCAGACTAGCCGCATGATGCAAACTGCCTAAGGTAAGTAAGGGATACACTAGAGTTCATCAGAATATTTTCTTATTTTTTATATATTTGAAACTTTCCAAGAAAAAGTAAAAATTTTTTAAATTTAATTTTTTTTAAAGCACATGTCAGTTATAACCAAAATGGCAAAGGGGCAATACAGAAGAAATGACAAAAACTATCCAAAAATATCATGGCAGTGTTGAAAATTTAACACAGAACACATACTTACCACTTGGCTAAGGTCATATCCCCATGGCAGGAAAAGAATCCCTGTGTTATACTTTTCCCAGTGAGACAGGATGAAAGAAAACAAAACTACCCATAGCAGGAGATAAAGAACAAAAACACTGACACCAGTTGATCCTCGTCCAAAGATGGAATACACAGTTACAACAAAGTAAACACATGACCAGCTATCCAGGCCATGGTCAAAAAGCTCCCCTAATGGGGTGCTAGAATTGGTCCTCCGGGCTTGCTTTCCATCCACGCCATCTGCAACAAAAACACATCACAAAAAAGGGTCAACATCTATATCAGTATGGTGGAAAAAACAAATTAGTATATCACAGAACTCTTAAGTGTAGTGACAAGCCAACACTATAAAAACCGTATCCTGAATTCCTACAATTCAAAAATTTCAGAAATGAAATGTACAGCTTTTAAAAATATAATCTAAAAATCAAAATGTTATAGCACACTGAATGATGTCATTTTTAGATATATCTAGCTGGATTCTGAATTCTTCCAGTTCTTCTAAACAACCCAACTAGGTCATTCTACTAACCACAAATTCTTAAACATTTAATAACTTCTCATTCCAACTTATCTAATCACTCCTTGCTCTAGGACCAAAAAGTGCTTCAGCCACAATGCCTATTTCATCCTGTGTGAAATCAGTCATTTCTTCACAAATCTACTGCTTCCGTATTTTCAAGTACTTTCAAAAAATGTACATAGTAGGTGCTTAGCAAATATAAAATCTAAATTTATTGAACGTGTGCAATACACTATTATTGGTGCTGTACAAATACAAGAATCTTGGAATAAACTAAGTTTGTTCCCTCAGAGTGTTTATAATTGAGAAAGGGACAGCTTTGTCATGAATCATGAAAAATTTCATGTAACACAGAGGGTTCCTTCAGGCTAAGATAACCTAGAATGGCTTTTAAGACAAGATGAAATTTGAGAGAGGCCATAAAGAATGAGCTGGATTTCAGCAGGTAAGAGATAAAGAAGTGTGCCATTTCAAGAGGAGGGAGTGCCATCAGTAATAAACACTGAGATGGAAAAGTATAACGCACATTCAAAAAACACAAGGAGTTTGACTAGAAGACAGATGAAGGCAGCAATATAAAAAGGCTAGAGAAGAGATGTGAGCCAGTTAAGTGTTAGGGAGCATAAAAAGCTACTAAAAGCTGCATGAATATGGGACTGACAAGAGTGAAAGCCATGCTTTAAAAAAATGCACATGACATCATTGTGAATGACAGACTAGAAATAATTAGTAGGCCAAAATGGAGATGGAACGCAGTAGGAATGAAAAGCTGGGGACAGGTAAAACATTAAGCTAATAAAAATGAGAGAATGCTGCAAAAGAGATGAAAGCTCTAAAGAGAAGACAATCTCTAAAGGTTGTAGACTACATAACTAAGAGAGCAGTAGTGTTCATAGAAAGAAGTCAGAAGCAGCTGCAAGAGAGATGAAAGGAAAGACTATCATTTTAGGTAGTGTGACTGAAGGCCTGATGGGTTACTCACATAGTCATGTCAAGCAACTCAATCCAAGGTACTTACTAGCAACACAGAAGATCAATGAGGGCTAGATATAAACATGGTAATCATGAGAGTAAGAATATTAAGTATCAGAATCTACCAGAATGAGGAAAAGAGAAAGCCACAGAAAAAGCACAGTAGAATATCTTAATTTAGGGGAAGAAACACAGAAGCCTACTACAGAAAGACTTAGAACAAAAACTAATTAAAAAGGAAGAAAAGAGGCTGAGGGCATAGATCAGTGGTAGAGCACCTACTATGCTCAAGGTCCTGGGTTCCAACCCCAGTGGGGAGCAAGGGGGACACCTACAATAGCTGTGTTTACCCTGCTTACCACGGTGTTATCCTCAGTGCCTGGGTCAGTCTATGGCAAAGATAGCCTGTATGAATACCGTTGAGGGAATACATGAAAGGATAAATCCTGAAACACCTGCTCAAGCCCTGCAAATCTGTTATATAGCATTGGGAAATTTTCTGTCCTTAGGTAGCTGAAATATCCTCTCAAAGTCTTTTGCATTATTCACTGATTTAATAATTTCTTATTTTCAGTGCAGCTCCTCTATAGCTATATCATATTAAAATCATGAAATACATATTAATGAGGTTTTATAAGTTTTCTCAGTGAGCCCATCCCAGCTTCACAAGTCTAGTGTCCAGGTATGTCTCAAAAAATTTTTTTTTCTTAGAAAGATAACTCGGGTTACATTCTATATATATTATGAAAGATATCTCCTACGACCCTCCCAGGACTTAGACCTAGGATTTAATATTTCTGTAGCAAAATGCATGCATAGTCACACTTTGTAGAATAAAAATCATAAACTGCTTCATGTTAGTTCAAGACAGGTTTTGCAACAAATAGTTCACATCAGGTCAGGATTTTTGCCAAAAGTTGTGGACTTGAAACAACAGGTAGATTGTAAGGTACATTAAAAGGCTCTTGTGAAATGTTGTCAGAAGTCAGAACTCACAGACCACCCTCTTTTTTCCTTGCAGCAGTCTTTAGCAACTAAGTCTATCAGCAGCATGTACAAATTTGTTGATTTTTACTGTCAGATACACAAAAGCCTTTACTTAAATATGTAACTTTTAACTGCAGCTTCCCCTAATTCTCTCCCTTCTCCAAACTCCTACGGTGCAAGTTCCACATCAGCATTTGCCGTATTGTTATACTGGTTTATGAGAACGAGTCTTTTTTACTTGATGAGATCTAAGCAACTTCAAGTCAGCATCTCCTATTTTACCTGCACTTAAAAACTACCCACTCAAGAGTCTGCTATGTTTCAGGCACTGCTCTTGACACTGGGGATAAGCAGTGAACAAAGCAATAACCACCCTCAAGGGTGTTCTTCACTCTAACATGTTAGTTAGGACAGATGACTGACAAGCAGGTAAGTAAACAGATGGTTTTAAAAGGTATGGAGAGCCAAGTGTAGTGGCACATGTATAATCCCAGCACCGAGGCAGGAGGATTGCCACAAGTTTGAGGCCAACCTGGGCTACCCAGTGAGTTCAAGGCCAGCCTGGAATATACAGCAAGACCCTGTTTCAAAATAATCTAAATAAATACATACATATGTACATACATACACACTATAGAGAAAAAACACAGGAGAAGAGAAGAGAGGACCGCAGGACAAGCCACACAGATGACCGCACTGAAAACCCTCTGCCAAGTCAGAACCAAGCACCTCCTTGTTTTCCCACTGTGTTCTATTACAGCATCTCCCTTACCTTTCTGCTACACCAATACTGCTTCCCAAACTTAGGCAAAAATGTTTTACTTGAGGCTGGCAAATCTTTTGTGTTAAGGTCCAGATAATAAGCATTTTAGGCTTTGTCATCCACACCCTTTGTGGATCTCTTGCAAACTACTCAACTTTGTCTTTATTGCAGGAAAGAAACCATAGACAATGTACAAAGGAATGAATGTATAGTAGCTGTGTTCCAGTAAATTTTCTTTTACAAAAATAGACAGTAGGATAGATCTGGCCTACAAATAATTGGTAGTTTGCCAACTTCTATTTATCCCAAGTAATGAATGATAATATTTTTCATATATTAAAAATCATATTTACCAATCTGAACAGAATATTAATAAACTCTAGTTAAAAAAGAATGAAGCATATGAGAAAATATTAATTTAGTGGGTGGCTGCATTTGCTGATTAACCACCCACTGATTAAAATTGGTATTTTCAGGAAGATGACAAGGGCATCTACTATCACCACTCCTGTTTGATATGGTACTTGAAACACCAGTCAGAGCAATCAGGCAAGAAAAGAAACAAAAGGGATTTTAGAGGAAAGGAAGAACTCAAACTCTCCTCATCTGCAGATGACATAATCCTTTACATAGAAGACTCAAAAAACTCTACATAAAGACTCCTTAGAATAAACAAATTCAGCAAAATAGCTGGATACAAAATCGATACACAAAAAATTAATAGTGTTCCTGTGTATCAACAATGAACCCAGGGAGAAAGAAATTACGAAAACAATACCATTCACCACAGCTTCAAAAGAAAAATTAAATACTGAGGAACAGGAGGCTTCACAATCCCAGTTCAAGTTATACTTCAAGTTATATTGCAAAACTACAGTGATAAAACAGCATGTGCAGGGACAAAAATACACCTGCGAGGCAATGGAACAGAACTGAAGATGCAGAAACAACCCCAGGCACATTTGGTCATCTGATTTTCCACAAAGGAATCAAAAACATAGGCTGGAGGAAAGAGCACCTTTTTTGCAAATGGTGCTAGGAAAACTGGCTATCCATATGCAGAAGAACGAATGTAGACTCATTCTCTCTCACCTTATATTAAAATAAAATCAACCTGGATCAAAGACCTAGATAGTAAAACAGAAACACTTAATCGGCTGGAAGATAACATAGGTAAAACTCTTAAAGACATAGTACACCTATAGCAAGGACTTTCTGAACAGAACCCCAAATGTACAAGAAATAACACCAAGAATCAACAAATGGAAAAATTCAAAAGCTATCAAATTTAAAAGCTTCTGCACAGAGCAGAGGATATAACCAACAGAGTTAAGAGACAACCTACAGAATGGGAAAAATATCTTTGCCAACTATTCCTCAGTCAGAGGACCAATATCTAAAATATATAAAGAAATACAAAAATTAGCCCCCCCAAAAAACATCGCAATCAAAAAACAAGCAATTGAAATGAGTGGATACTTCTCAAAAAAGAAGTACATATGGCCAATAAGTACATTAAAAAAAAAAAAAAATTCAGCATCTTTGACCATTAGAGAAATGTAAGTCAAAACAACACTGAGAGTCTAACACCAGAAAGAATAGCCACCATCAAGAATGCAATAACCAAAGCACGCTTTATGAGGTTGTGAGGAAAAAGGAATCCTTCTACATTATTAACAGGAATATAAACTAGTATAAATCACTATGGAGTATCATAAAGAAATAAATACAAACAAATAAAAATTCTATTTGACCCAGTTTGTTCTGGGTTTTCCTGAGGAGTTAAAGACATGGTATTACACATGCATGCCTATGTTTATAGCACAATTCATAACAGCTAAATCTTGGTAGCAGCCTATACGTTCATCAACATTTAAAGAAAATGAATAAAGAAATCGTGGTATACATACACAGTGAAGTATTACTCAGCCATAAAGAAGGATAAATGAGTTATTTGTAGGAAAATGGATGCACCTTGAGATCATAATGCTAAGTAAAAGAAATCTGATATAGAAGGTTAGATATTGCATGGTTTCTCTTATATGGGAAATCTAAAGTATGAAAAGGATGATAGGAAAAGACACTATGGAGATCAGAAGGGCATGTAGAGACAGAGGAAGACAGGAGGGACTGAAAGGGAAGGGGAAGCAAAAAGGACTAAGATGTGATATGTATATACACTGATTTCCCAAGATGGAAGTATTTACTATGTATTGTAAAATACACTAGTAAAAAGGGGGAAAAATGTAAAAATAATATTAATATTTACCACTTCCTTACCTAGCGTATAGGCTGTAAAGTTGAGGATGCCCACAACAATCCAAACCCAGTCGGGCACATGCCTGTGACCTGGAGCTGCAAAGAAAAGCAACTAAGGTTTGAATACAGTCTTCCTGTAATAGTTCTTACCATACCACTTCCTGCCAAAGAGAAGTGTTTCTTTCGTTAGAGATTCACATACTTTACAATGTATGCTGAATGCAGAACTAAATAAAGACTAAAATTTATCAAAAACTGCCCAACCAAAGATGTAACTCCTCAACCTCTCGTTTACATCAAGTATTTGTATCAAGTTTGTACTGTAATTCAAAACTAAGTGTTCCTCTTTACTTGAAAATAACTTATCAGCTCACAACAAAAAATAATACATTTTAAAAATTTATAAAAATGACTGCATGTAATCTAGTTCTTATTGTTTGAGGTTATACTATAGACACATACTCTTATGGTTTACATCTAAAATGGTCCCCAAAAGTCCCACATTTGGAGGTAGAGCCTGGTCAGAAAGGTGGGGTCACTGTGGGTGTGACTTGGAAGGGTATAGTGTCCTGGTTCCTCCCTTCTCTCTGCTTCCTAACTGCCAAGACGTGAGCAAATTTCTGCCAGGCTCTTCTACCACACTGCTTCTGTCCTAAAACCAGCCAACCATGGACTGAATCCACTGAAACGACCCAAAATTGTGGATGTCAGGAACTTCATCTCAGCAACAGGAAAGTCAGCGATACATAGATAGCCTTCACACTATACTTTCTCACTATGAGTACAGATGAATTTCCTCAACTAGATAATTTGGGCACAGGAATCATCTGATGCCTGATCCAGAAATGCCTGGGTATTTTTCCCTCTGATAAAACAACTGAGAATCCAGAAGTCTAGGTTCTAGGCCTGCCTCTGTAATCAGTCAGTAGCGTGACCCTGAATGTATCATTTAACTTCTTCTGTCTTGCATTTTACAAGCATACCGGGACTTGAAGGCTTATGAGTCCTTCAAATTCTATGATTTGAGGAAATATACATAATTTTACATATTCTTATTTCTTTAACTAATGAGGTAATAATTTTATTTACAGTACTCAGAAAGTATTTTAATCACAAAAATATTTTAGCATTTCTTGAGGATTAAAATATAAAATTAAAAATCTAGACTAACAAAAAGCCTCACAATACCAAAATCATGCTTAATGAAATTTAACCTTACTGATTATTCTTACAGTACTGTAGGATCTTCTCATGCTCCTGACTGGTACGTAAGACTTCAGTGACCACTCTGCTCTATGTTCCAAAGTTCTAGCTAAAAGTTTCAGTTGACAAAATTGAGCATCTGCAGTTTCAATATTTAGAATTTCTGTAACATCAAACGTGCTAAGTGAATGAAACTCCCAAGTTTTCCTACAAAACAATGCCACCAACGGCTGTTGATTCTTCCAGGTCAGTCCACAAAAGCCTGATAAACCCATAAAACAGATGAATTAAAACACTAAGACTTGGGGCTGGGGATTTAGCTCAGCGGCACAGCACCTGCCTGGCAAGCGCAAGGTTGTAAGTTCAATTCCTGGTACCGGAAAAAAATAAATAAATAAAAAATAATAATAATAATTACACTAAGACTCTGCACTACATCATTTGTAAGTTTCGATTTTGTTGTTCTTTTGAGACAGGGTCTCACTGTGTAGTCCAGGGCAGCCTTAAACTCATTATGTAACCCAAGCTAGCCTTGAACTTTTAATTCCCCTGCTTCAGCCTCCCAAAGTGCTGGGACTACAGATACGCGCTATGACACCTGGCTCATTTATAAATATTCTTATCAGAAAACAAATCTCCAACTTGAAGGCAAAAGCTACTAATTGGTCTCCACCTTTCTACTCCTTTCCACTCAATGAACTGGCTGAGCAATAACAATAAACCCTGTCTCCCACCACTTCCCGCATCCTCCAAACACTCCGGACTCTCCCGTGGCTGGGAAAAGAGCTGGGCATGGCACAGCAGAGGACCAGGTGTGGGAAAGGATCTGCAGGGCGTGGGGAAACACTGGACATGAGCACCCAAGTGTTTCCGTCCTCTCTTCTCCAATAAGGGTCCAGGCCAACATCAAAAACATTTGGGGAGGTGGGGAATGAAAGAATTAAGATGTGTTGTGCGCATGTACCAACTTGCCACGAGGAATGTGATCATTATGTACTGCAAATGTGCACTAGTGAAAATGTTTAAAACATTTAGGTCTAAGAACCACTTTCAGAGGAAACAGAGTCATTAGAGGCGAGTAAGGAATGAATAGAGGGAAGAATAGACCACATCCCCTTCAGAAGAAAGGGGATTTTTCTTCCAGGACTAGAAAAGAAGAAAGGATATTCCTGGATAATAGGTATGTCAGGCCCAAGTTGTACTCATTTTTAGGTAGTTTTCCTATCCTAAATCTCCATCTTCACATAAATCTAATTATTCTTTATTTGCCAAAACTTCATTGCTTTTTAGACAGCATATCTAAATTCAATAGGCAAAATGGTATATATTTCAAGAGCTTAATGGAAACATACATAACACTGTAAAAACACAACACAGTTTTTATATATAATTATGACATCTTAAATAACATTATACTGCCCAAAACTTTTCAGAAACACAAGCACCATAATAGAATGAGAAAATAACCAATTATACATCATTTTTCTCTACTCAGATATTTTAAACTTTATATTAAGGTAATATTCTTACCTGAAGCATAAAAGTCAGGATCAAAGTATGCCATAAGTAGAAAATTGAATACAACCAGCAGAAAGCCAGAAAAGGTTATCAGATTTGGAGCCAGCCAAGTAGGGAATGCCTATTTTTCAAAATAATTATAAAAGAATTAAAAGGTATCTTTGATACATACAACATAAAATTTCAAGTCATAATATAAGCTATTAATGTAAAAGATCATATGCAGGAGTTACACATATTAAAAAGTAAACCATAATCTCCAATTAGCAGAAATAAGCATTTTGCTGGGCATGATGGTGCACACCTGTAATCTCACCATTCTGGAGTCTGAGGCAGGAGGATTACCACAAGTTCAAGGCCAGCCTGGGCTATATAGTAAGCTCTAGGCAAGCCTGAAATACCGAGAGACCCAGCCCTCCTCCCAAAAGAAGCATTTCTTATAACCCACAAACCTTTTTCTTTCTTTCTTTTTTTTGTCACTATGAAGGGCAGGCTGGCCTTGAATTCACTATGTAGCCAAGGCTGGCCTAGAACTCACAGTGATCCTCCTGTCTCAGCCTTCAGAATACTGGGATTACAAGTATGTACCCCTACACCCAGCTGCCCACAAATTTTTATAATCAAAATTAGATTCATTTTAGAAAATTTTAAAAGGCATTTTACAAAAATGATACATTGCATTATATACATTTAGATTTCAACAAAAGCTAAAGCAAGATATGTGACTAAGGGAAAGGAAAATAGAAAGTGTAGTATATTAGGCCAGGCATGGTGAATGCCTATAATCCCAGCTCTAGAGAGGCTGAAGCAGGAGGATCTCCAGGAGGGTAGCATGCGCTACATAGTGAGTTCAAGGCCAGATTGGACTACATCATGATACTCTGTCTCAGAACCTTCCTCCCCCAAAAAACAGAGAAAGTGAAAGATATCCAGGTATCTTACTAAACTTAAAGCTGCATCCCTAACACTATAAAATAGGTTGAAATACTTAAAACTGAACTAAACAAAAAGTATGTGCCTATTAATTAATTATCTTACCTTCACTATAGTGTTCCAAAATGGATGCATGACATACAGAGAGAGAGGATTGTTGTCCACAGCACTGTACTGTTAAGAAATGAAATACTCCGTTAACCCTTGCATACTAGCCAAAAGGACAATATTTTTCAAAATAAAATAACAGTACAAAGATAACCTGCAGAATACACCTATTTATATGATGTTCTCATCTAAATAACAAAACTAGAAGAGCAATATAAGTAGGGCAAAAACTATAAAGCACACTCAGGTGTTACTCTGATGGCAAGAGGAAAGGGTCAGCCCAGCAAGGTGGTGCACAGCTGCAATCCCAGCACTCTAGCAAGTTGAGGCAAGAGGACTGCAAATTCAATCCCACCTGGGCAACTTAGGGAAAACTTGTCTCAAAATTTTACGAAATGGAAAAAGGGCTGCGGATGTAGCTCAGTGTGAAGGCCCTGGCTTCAATCTCCAATACCAGAGGGGAGAAAAAAAGGGTCAGTCACAGGGGTAATCCAAAGGTCAACCCCAAGTCAGAGTTAATCACACAGTGGTTGTTTCATTCATATATATTCATCCAAAGTCCACCTTACCAGGATAATCAATGACTCACCCCCTCTCAATCAACTTTTATAATTATCATAGTGTTTCAGTTTTTTAAAATTATATTGCTTATATAGTCTCAGTTATTATGCAGGATCAATAAAATATACACTGTCTACAGTCAAACACTGACCACAGACCTTCTCAATCTCCCTTAACCCTCTCACCTTACAGGAATGAGTTTTCCCCCTTTGATAACATTACTGGTATACTTACTACCTAAGTTGCCTTGAGGAATTTATCTCTTTTCTTAGTTTACTCACCTGTAAAGTGAGTATGATAGCCCTTACCACAAAGGACTGTCACAAGGATTAGGTAAGTTAGTAATATATGTGAAGCACTTACAACACTACCTGGCCCTTAGTAAATATAATATAGCTATTATTACCACATGTGTTTTGAGCATCAAGGTAATACAAACCCATTTACAGGAAGAAAGCAGATTCTATAAGTCAGCAAAGGAGACAAGAACAGGTTAGGGTTGTACGGTAATGGAGCTTATGCCCTCACTACTGAACTATTTGATAAAAATTCAAAGGACATTTTAACAGATACATGCACACAGGCATGTAAAACCCCACGCGTCATGACTTACTTATCTCTTCCCTTCCTCTCTCTCTCTCTCCCCTCCACCTCCCTCCCTTTTCCCCCTCTCTCCTGGTATGCAGAAAGCATACCTACCTCACTAGGCATGAGGAAAAATATAAAGCATAACAGAGATTCTCACTTGTCAAGGAGTTCACAGTATTATTTAGGTTAATAACACCTAATTCAACCAACTGATATTTAAACGATATTACACTAGTCAAATGTTTGAAAAGTCTGGGTTAAGTTTGCATTATGTTTTATACTTATACTATATATACTAATGCATACATATAAAAATTTGAGAGCTAACATTTTAAATCATAATTTAAAGGTCAAACTTCTTCTTGAATGTTTTATAAATAAATATAGAGGAAATACTTTCAGTATTTCAAGATTTAAAAGTATGATGGAACAAAAAAGTAAATAAATAGAAAATAACCAAAACACCGTTAACAAAGAACTCAAATATTTATTCAACAGACCCCATGCTGAAGTTCCTCCATTTCTCCAACCCCTTCGACTACGAGATAACAAGGACGAAAGAGCCAAGGCAGGTGGCGGGAAGATGAGGAAGAATGTGGTTTGCTCCTCCTCGCCAGTGAGAAGGTATAAAGCTGCAGCCAGACTCAGCAGGAGCCCACTTACCTTAGTCTCACGGTTCCCGCTAATTTTTCAACTCATACTAGGCTTTCAACCTTTGCTCTACAGTTGACAGAACTTTCCCACACAACAAAGATCACCGCATCAGAGCCTCCACAGGACAAGGGCATGCCAAAGTGAAAGGATCAGCCAACCTTAAGTCTACAGAGCTGAGGATCTGGCGGCCACATGAACCCTTATGGCTGCAGATGACAACATAGGAGAGAAAGCACTTCACCAAAGTCTGTCCCCCAAACCACATGAAACAGCCAGCAGGCCAGATAAACTAGAAAAGCACCCACTTCAAGTCCACCATGTGCAAAACACAAAAGTTATAGTAAGTTCAAATCAGAAGAAAATGGTTTAAGATACCACATGAACACCCAGTATAGAACACAAAGTATAATGTTCTTAATTCAAATGTTTACTGAATAAGACTCATTCAGCAGCTTTTCATAATTTTAATTTACATCTCAAACAAGGTCCTTAGAGGATGGTATCCTGATATGAAAAGCTCTTTTTAAATTCTGAAGCTTTATATCTCTACTTCAAGAGACCAATACGAAAGTCAGATAACAATGTAAAACTAAACACAAGGCGGCCAGTTTATCTACCTAAATTTCAGTTATTGAATGTCAACTCAATAATGGCTGATGAAATCAAATACAGCAAGAAAAGGCTAATATGAGATTGTAAAACAGCAAACAATAAATCCAAACAACATACAGTGCTCTCACCTTACGCACCTGAGTATTTCTTAAGATCATATATCACTCGGTATACACGAAGAAACTCTAAACGACCTTGTGAATCAAGAGGAAGAAGAGTAACTTAAACCTTCCCCAGGCATAAAGAAAAAAATCCAAAATATAAACTTCCAAAAGTATTAAACTAGATTTGGGGTATTTGCTAATGTCTGTTAAATGTCCTTTTATTCTGCTTTAATAAGATACTTTGGTATACACCCGAACACCTGAACCTGGTAACTAATCCAGTGAACACCTAGCGTGACTTGCTTGGTTCAGTAATTTACAAGGCCCTGGAAAAATGTTCAAGGACCTCAGCTTAGGCTTAAGAGAATTATTCCAAGTCAAAAACTTCAGGGCACATGAGTGCATTACATGTCTGATTCTCATCTAGGCGAACAGATGAAACAATCAGTCGGCCTAGAACACCTCTAGTGACCAAAAACCAAACAAAGCTCATTTCCTCCAAAAGGAACCCAATCCAATGTTAAAACAGTTTCCCTATACACTGACAAGCTTCCCCAACCTTGTATCTCGTATCCTGTGTTCTCATTTTGCTCAGCAAAATAGCAGGCATGAGTCCAATTTTTCTTCAAAATAATAGTCCTTCAAGTATTTGGAGACAGCTTTCTCTGTTATACCCAAATCTTCCCTTTATCTGTTCCCATACCCCTTTAGCTGCTCCTCTTGCCATGATTTCAATTTTCCTCATCATCTAGGTCTAGCTTACTAGACAAGAAGCTGGAAACTTCTTCTGTAAAAGGCCAAATACTTTAGGCTTCGGAGGTGGAATGGTAACAAATACCCAGTACTGCCACTGAAACAGGAAAGCAATTGCAGAAAATACGTAAACTTATAAATAAGCACAGGGGCTGGGGATACAGCTCAGCAGCACAGTGTCTGCCTGGCAAGTGCAAGGTCCAGAGTTTGATTCCCAGTCCCCCGCCAAATAAACAAATAAGAAAGCACCACCTTGTTCCAATAAAACTTTATCCATAAAAACAGGTGGCTTGGGGCCTTTAGTTTGACAACCACTGCTACAGAAATCTGATTTGTTATTAATCCAACACAAAAGTGGATCCAGGGCAAAAGGAAGGTTTCAAGTGGCTACAATGGCATAATATGGCTATAAGCTTCTTTCCTTCAACATTGCATGCTGCTCAAGATACTATTAATTTCTTGTGGTAACAAAATCACACTGCAGTTTTTCAATACAGCTTTATAGTCGCCTAGACCCCTTGGCCCTCTCTATATGGACTGAGTCCCAAGTAATGCCCTACCACCCAAAATCAGCAGATTTGCCCCCGTTATCTCTTCTAATCCATATAAGAAGAACAGGACTCTTACTATCAAATGATTTTTAATAACATTTCTGATTTTTAAAAATTACTTCCAAAATCCTTAAGTTCAAAATCATCCATGGTAGTTCTGTTTTGAGAAAAAGCGTATCACCATACGAAGTATATTATTCACATCAACTTCCCAAATGTAATGAAAGAACTCATTATCAACCTATCTTAAGAGCTCAGGAGAGGCTAAGGATGTAGTTCAGTGGTACAGCTCTTGCCTGACACACACAAGGCTCTGCATTCTACCCCCAGCACTACAAAAAAAGAAAAAGCAAAACTAAAAAACTACCTCGGGGCAGAAAGAAAAAATGTCAACTCTTCATGGAAACCCAGGCACAGACAGAGCTGGTATGGTGCCGAAGTCAGTCCCTTGCTGATATGGCTCATGACTCAACCATGTTTAAATATAAGCCTTTACAGGGAAGAAGCCCTTGTTGTGGCTTGTGGTCAACATGTGTTCTACCCCTCCAGGAACAGAGTTTTGTTCTTTCCCTTTTTGAGGGGGTTGGGGAGGTCCTTTCTGATACTGGAAATTGAACTCAGGGCCTCTGTACTAAACTACTTCCCCAGCTCTTTTATTTCTGTTTTAATTTTGAGATAGGGTCTCACTAAATTGCTAAGCTGCCTAAGTTGGGCTAGAACTTGCAATCCTTCTATCAGAATACTTTAGCAGCAGAGGATATAGCTCAGCAGCACAAACACCTGCCTGGAAAGCACAAGGTCCGGAGTTCAAGTTCCGGTGCCAAAAAAAAACCCTATAGAATACCTCAACAATGACATTCCAACCTCTGGGCAAGTTTTCCTTCACTTAAGCACAAAACATAAAACAAGAGAACCCAATTATTAAGAACTGTTATTCACTCAACAAGTATCAAAGAAGTCAAAAGAATCACCTTTCATGTACAAATGTCAGACACAAGGAAATATATAAAGAAATATAAAGAAAAGGTTGAGAAAGTTCCACAACTTGATCCCTTCTGCTTCTGGCACGAAGTAGAAACTCAATAACCTTATCCGAGTGCTTGTACAAATCAACAGGTACATGTATGAACTATCTGCATGTTTACTGAAACAGCAGTGCGCAGGGCATCTGAGATGAGGCGAAGAATCAGTTCCTTTACCACACAGATAGCTCTGTTCCCCCAGGAATAGTCTATAGCAACTT